TTATCAATTTTAGATGAAATCGTATTTTGTACAGAACTTAAAAAGTACGCAACATTGAGTATTAAAATTTGGCAAGAATATTCAAAACAAATATGTAGAACGCTATAAAGTTTTTTGAACTACATCTGTGACTATCACTTTTTTATATTTTTTAATAGTATTTAATAAATAGCAGGACAAATGAAAATGTCTCATTTCAATCATTAAACATTTTTCTATAAGCTGCCAAAGTTTCACTAAAATCCATCCAGGGAAAAATAAGTTTGACCACGTAAAATACACTGAAATGGCGGCCTTAATGGCCAACAACAATTAAGAGGAAACATGACGGGCGCTCCTCCGCCAAAAATCAATTTTACATTTGAGGCAGAAAAAAAAAATTGTAAAAAAAATTGTTCAGGCCAATCGTTCTAAAAATAAACCAAGAATGACGCTAAATCACGAAAAACTTATAATAATTTTAAAGAAAAACAACAAAAATTTCAACTTTTTAACAAATTTAATTTTTTGGCTCTTTAGCGTCATTCTATAACAAATATCTTAACTATTTTCTAAATAACTTTTTTTTTTAAAGATTACCAATTTTAAACAGGACCAAAGATTAACATAGTTTTTATTCCGATACTAATTCTATTAAAACAATGATACCAGTGAATATGGCAACGCTGCTAGTCTATGAAGCCCGTGGTTAAAAGGGTAGCTGCTGTTTAGTTAAATTTGTTAATTTCTGTGTCGAAAAATAGGTAGTTGTTTTTGAAGAGGTGCGAAATTAATGTGGTCTTCTTAGTTTGTTGTTGAGGCGTTGTTAGGTTTTTGTTTAATTTAGTTTTTAGTTAATTTATGAAATGAAATATTCTGGAAAGCAAAAATGCTACCACAGCTGACAAATTTCTATTTTAATTGTTTGCTACCAGAGTTAGTAAATCCTAGAGAAATACGACATGTGCCAATTAGGGAAAAGAGAATGTCAAGAATTTTACCCGCTTGAAAAAATGTGTAATATACAGGGTGTTTCTAAATACATGCGACAAAATTCAGGAGATGATTACTGGTATGAAATTAGGATGGGTCTTTCCTATAACAAAATTTCCTCAGCCCACCCCTTTTTGAGATATCAGTAAAGCTAGAAACTTGAAATTATGTAATCGCAAAGGACTAACCACGGATATTTTTTCAATATTCCTGTTACATTATAGGGTGGTGAAATTAGCAATACTTACTTTATTTCATATCAAAACTTTTTTTCGATATGACCTTTTATGAAATAAAATTATAACTTGAAATCCTTGTTTTATTTAATTTTTTTTTATTTTTGAATTTTTTTCCCAAAACCAATAGCTTCAGAGAAAAAAAAATAAACACCCTAATTTATCATTTTTTTTAATAAATTGAGTGAAAAACAGTATTTTTTTTCTATGAAATTGTATCAGAAATAAAGTCAATATTTTCACTACCCCCCCAACTTAAACTCTGGATGCGCCACTGAAATTTTGTATGTTTTTATTCTATTAATATTAGTTTCTATTTTAAAATTTCTTATTGTTTATTATTCTTATTCGTTACAATTTATTTTTTATTTGTTGATATGAAACATTTCTACTAAATACATATGAACGTATCTTGAATTCATTTGACAAAAATGTATAGTGTTTTTTTTTTTTTAATTAAAAATATATAACTAAGTAATCCGGCCCTGGAAATTGGACAAAATAAGATTAATGGTGCAGTATAGGCACTAAAGTCTTATGTTCGACTCGTTTTAGTTTAAATGTATACAAATGACAATGTTTTCTTTAAGTTATAACATTATTATGTTACCTCATAAGGTGATTTTTCAGTTTTGCCCAAAATCGAAACATAATAAAAAAATTAACGAAAATGTGACAAAAATGTCAGATACACAGTTGAGTGTCTGTCTATGTACTTTAAAAATATCTTATTATAATTTTAAAAAATCGCAACTTTTTGATACGAATAGTTGAGAATAATTTTTCCTAAGCCTATCCTGGAATGTTTAACCTTTTGAGGATATAAATTAAATGCTAGACAACAGCGTACAGTTTCATAAAAAAAAATAGAAAATCTAAAGTCTATTCAGATTTCATTTACGCCGCGTCAAAACAATTTCTCCCATCCAGCAACAGCTCACGTGACATTTTTTTGCGCTTTTATTGGTTAATCGGTCGTTAGTCATTTAGACGACGCGCAAATATTTTTTGTCAGAGTCGAATTCAGTTCAATTTGGATAATTATAAACGGCGTTTTGGTAGCATTCACCGTGTTGGTTAGTTTGGACATTTTGTATGTTTGATTGATTATAATTCATTATATTATAGTTTAGATATACATATATTGTGTTATTTATTTTTTTTTTGTTTTTGTGGTTGTTGTTAGTTTGAACATGTTTTACTCTATTTTATGGTCATTTAATTGACTATATTTTGTAATTGCTGCGTGACACTATGTCCTCCACAGATACAGCAGATGAAGTCCAGAAAAATGTTTTTACTCCTTCTAAAAAGCGACTGAAAAAGGGACATTTGGTCATCCGTACTAAAGAAATAGTTCTTAATATTTATAAGCATTAAATTTTATAAAACCCTGATATGTTGGTACATGATGTTGAAAGGAGAGTTGCTGATAAAACAGGGATGTGCGCTAAAACCGTTTTTAATGTTATGAAGGAGTATAGGCAGATTCATACATTTTCTGAACCAAAAAGAAAGCTACGTTATAAACAAATTAGTGGCTCTGTGGATGATTTTGATAAAAATGCAATAAGGCGCAAAGTACATCAATTCTTCTTTAGAAATTAACTTCCAACAATTGATAAGGCTTTATAAGAAGTCAACGATGATCCATATTTGTCTACTTTTAAGCGAGCTACATTTTACAAGCTTTTCAAAACCCTTAATTTTAAATTTAAAACTCGAGGAAAAAATAGTTTGCTTTTAGACAAAAATGAAATTGTTTCATCCTACGCCACAAAAAATAAAACGGTACAGAGAAGAAAAGCAAAAAATATATTATCTTGATGAGACTTGGATTAACGCAGGCCACACCAAATCAAAAGTATGTTTCGATATGTCGGTTTTTTCATCCAGACAAGCCTTTTTGGATGAACTTTTAACTGGTTTTAAAAATCCATCAGGTATTTGCGTAAAAACAGCTCATTATATATTGGAAGTGAAGAAGGCTTTGTCTCTAATGCACTTTATGTATTTGAGCTGAAAAATCCGGTGACTACCATGAAGAAATGTGTGGAGAATCGTTCAAAGAGTGGTTTTCAAACACCTTACCAAAATTAGAAGATAACTGCATTATTATTCGAGAAAGCTGGAAAAAATATCTACGACGTCTAAAAGGTGATATTTAAAAATGGCTATAAGGGAAAAAAATTGAATTCGACTACCAAATGCTTAAGATCCAACTTATAAAACTTGGTAAGCAACATAAACATTATGATAGGTATGTAATAGATGAAATGGCTAAGCAGCAAAACAACATAATACTTCACATGTCTCCGTATCATTGTGAACTTAACCCTATTGAATTAATCTAGGTTGACGTTAAACAATACGTAGCAGATAAAAACTCAACATTTAAATCTGGAGACATTAAAATTCTTTTTGAAGAAGTAATATTATTAATTTCTCCAGAAAAATGGAAAAAGTGTATCGACCATGTGCGCCAAAAAGTTGAAGTAAAAATGTGGGAGTTGGATAATATTATAGAGGTTCAGGTAGAACCACTTGTAATTTTGATTAATGAAGATAGCCTTTCAAGTCTAACTAAGTTATCCGATTCAGAATAGTGCTAAGTCAAGTAAGGAAGCTATAATACAGGGTACAAGTTGTCTAATCTAAATACTAGTAGAACAAGAAAAATAAATAACAAAAGTTATCAAAAATACAAAAGGTTTCTTTTTAAGATGCACAATTTTAAATCAAATACCAAATTCAAATACCAAATACCTCTTATATTTAAAGTTTTTTTAATGCTTTTAGTAGATATATATTAGCTATTAAAGAATTTGCAATTATTTGGACACCCTGTACAATATAATTTTATAATATGATTGTTTTAATGCTCTGTATCACAGTAGACATATGTAATGAACTAAATATAATGCAACCATCTCTTTTAAAGTCAAATACATTTATTAATTTGTATTGCAGGTTAACGCAGTTTATGTCGCTCACCTATCTTCGTCCAGAAATGTCACTAAAGTCTGGGAGACCGTGTATGGCATTTATTTTATAGTTTTATTTTACAAAATATGTTTTTATCGTAATAAAAAAAATAATTTCACAATTACACTCTTTTATTTTACATTTTTGCAAGACGGAAAAGTAAAATACGGCCCTGCTCAATTTTAGCATCCACCTGCTTCTGTTTACATCAGATGTAAATTAAATTTGCATAGACTTTAGTAATCCTTGTAGATTTTACAGCTATATAAATTTTGTCAAAATTCACAAAACACCCCGTATATTATTAACGAAGGGGAATTGGCACTTTTTAATGCTTAATCCAAGTATACGTATATGAATTGTATAAAACGAATAATAAATTTAAAAAACTGGGGTCTATGGGATATTTAAGTAACTTTTTAAAATTATCAAGAATCCCTATAAAAAACGTTTCAAGTTTAGTGGGAAATTATTGAGAATAATAAATATATGGTGATTGTTAAACCCAACAAACAAGTCCTAATATCACGTAAGCTTCACTGCTTAAAAAAATCACATAAATCCATACTGCATTATGCACGACACTGCAACGAGACGTACGGCACATCGACCCCACCAGAACACAAGAAGTGGTTGTTGCTGAAGATGGTGCGTCTGCTTTTAGTCAAATGTGTTCTTTCTCCTTCAAAGTCAGAGTCAGACCCGATCCTGCTGTCAGGCTGAGTAGTACCGTCCTCGAAGAGAAAGTACCGCGTGCGCGAATAGAAGATCGCGATCGGTTTCGTAAACGTGATTTGACGCGCGAAATTTTTTATTTACTTGTGACTTTTTTCGCTATAGCAAAATTTTGTTAATCATTACGACTTTTGTAGAATAACAATATTGAATATGTGTTGGAAAATGTATTTTGTATTTTTTGTAATCGCAGTGGCACGATGTGCAGTTGCAGATTTTGATTCAAGTAAGTTCATAAGTTTTTATTTGTTTTTTTATTTTAACATTCGTTAAGAGGAAATTTATATTATTAATAATTGGTATAGTAGTTTGTGCAACAAGTGTGGATATCACATATCGCACAAAGTTGATGTGTGAGTACGACGCCGTGGGCGAAGTGCTTAATCGTCTGAGGGATGTGAATCCTGCACCTTTCTAACTCACGCTAATATCTTATAAGTTTTGAAAGGCTTGAAATTTTTAATTGATTTACTTTTAGACAGCTTTATTTTACGGTTTATTTGTAAATAGGTATAAACGAATATGATCACATAGTGGATCGGCATTATTTATTGATTCTTTACAAAAATCACTAATTTTTAATTATATTTTATTTCAATAACTAAAAAAATATAAGTACAGGCAATTAGTTTGATAGAGTTGTCACTAATTTAAAATTTAAAAAGAAGAATCGGTCAGATACTACGAGTACATATGATCTGGGATTGATGGATTTCATATTCTTACTAAAATGAATATGAATTTATATCCGTTCAGTAGACTAAATTAATCGTTCTGTAGTTTATGCACAAAGTGATAATATTATAATAATAATAATAATAATAACAACAATAATGATGTATTACTTGCCAAAGCATAAACAAAAGATTACAATTACACATTGGTTATAATTAGAGAGAATAATAATAAGAACTATAATTCATTTATTTATTTTTTCATTTAATTTAATTATTCAAAATTAATTCTGATGCCTTGGTAAAATTCCCCACTCGACCATTCACTGTTTGTTTCTAATTAACAGTGCCGTTTCTAAAGTGGCGCTGGGAAAGAGTAACAAAGCCTATACAGAACACGAGGCGAAATAAAGTTGAAGCCGATGACACAAAAAAATAAGAACTATAAATTAACTTGTGGTAAAAAAAGTAAAATACAATATACATATATTATTAAACATTTTGCAATTTTTCATTTGCAAGAAATACGATATCTTCTCCTTATACAATTGGGTGTAGAAAATGAGTTCATTGTATAACGAGGGAGGAATAGTACTTATTTCCTACGAATACGATTATATCAATATACATGTATTGAGTGAGTATAACTATATAAGGACAATTAATGACTACACCAGAGTAAAAAAACGATCAAAAAAGTTGTATAGACCATATTATTTATAAAATCATTAAAAAATATCAAATACACAATACATCCGTTTATTATCAAAACAAGTATTACAGATCATTTTTCAATCGTATTAGATATTATGGTTGCTAAAGTAAAACAAAAGGAAATTATAGAAAATAAAAAGATATTTAATGATAAAAAATTACTTATATCTCTAATCAAAAACGAAACATGGTTGAATATATACAGGGTAGCTGTTAAAGATGGAACCAAACCTATAGTGCTTGAACGGTTCAACATACAAAACCCAAAATTTTAGGATTTCAATATATTTGCGCATATTTTAGCCCAAAAATTATTTTTTTTATAATTACAAAATTTTAAGCATGGCCGCCATCTTGATTTTTTTAAATGGCAACATAGGTCATGTGATATACCATTTGAAAGGGGGATTACAAAAATGTATGACACATAGGGCCTAAACACAAAAGAAAAGATATTATTAATAGGGAGCGTAGGAGGCTGTGCATTTGACACAAGACCCATGTGTGATACATTTTTGTAATCAGGGTGGTAAACCCTTTCAAATGGTATTTCACATGACCTATGTTGCTATTTAAAAAAAATCAAGAAGGCGGCCATGCTTAAAATTTTGTAATTATAAAAAAAATAATTTTTGGGCTAAAATATGAGCAAATATATTTAGTTGAAATACTGAAATTTTGGGTTTTGTATGTTGAACTGTTTAAGCACTATAGGTTTGGTTCCATCTTTAACAGCTACTCTGTATAATACACCTGATATTAACGTATGCGCAGAAATGTTCATAGATAAAATAAAATCATATATTAAAAAATCCACTAAAACAATTCATTTTAAATCCAGCCAAAGAAAACGTACAGAATGGATTACTCATGGGTTAATTAATTCAATCAACGAAAAAAATTAAATTCACAAAAAAAATGCTGAAAAACTCTACCGAAGAGAATAAACGAGAATTTAAACAATACAGGAATCGTCTGCATAATATGTTACGGCTTGCTAAGTCAGATTACTATAATAACAAAATATTTGACAATAAATAAAACTCGTCCAAAGGCTTATGGCAATGCGTAATAGACCTGTGTGGTAATAAAATAAAAAAAAGAAAACATAAAATCAATAAACATAGAAAATAAAACGATTACAGACAACAAACTAATGGCTAACCTATTTTATGAACACTTTACAGGTGTAGGACACAAAATGGCTGAAAAAATTAAAACCCATCCCTCAAACTTAAATTAAAGTAAGCCATACTGAGAGTTTGAAAACAATAAATGGGCTAAAAAATAAAAAAACTCCGGGTATAGATGGTATTCCAGCTGAAATAATAAAATTAATAGCCCCTTACATTGCATCAGTATTAGCTTATATAGCCAATAAAATGTTAAATGAGGGGATATTTCCAAACATTTTTAAAGATGCTATGATCATACCACTTCATAAAAGTGGAAGTCTGACAGATATAAATAATTATAGACCTATATCAATTATCTGAACCTTTTCTAAAATTTTCGACAAAATTATTTACTCAAGAATGTTAAATTTTTTATCAAAATACAATATATTGTCTGCTAAACAATTTGGGTTCCAAGTTAACAAATCTACATCAGATGCCATTGCCAGTTTAACTAAATTGATAAATAATTTTATTGATATATCTAAACCAGCAATATGTATTTTTGTTGATCTGGCAAAGGCATTTGATACTGTGGATCACAAACTACTATCTACATTATATTGCGGTTTTAGAGGATCTACATATAAGCTAATGAAAAGTTATCTAAATAAGAGAAAACAGTGTGTAAAAATAAACGACACTATGAGTAAATATGAAACTGTTACCTATGGAGTTCCTCAGAACTAAATTTTAAGTGACTAACCATCAGTCCATAAATTTTTTTTACTTAAATACCATTAGAGATACATTTTTTTTGCAGGAGAGAAAAAATGCTACAAATGAAAACAGCTCTCCACAAAAAAAAAATTAGGGAACAGGGGTGGCCCTGAAAAAAAATACGATGTCATTTATGGTAGGATTAGAGTGGTTTTTACCCTTCCATAATTTCAGTTGGTGTAATTTTTGCTTCAATTAAAATAGCTACACACCAAATTTTATAAAAATCGAAAGAAGCGTTTTTGTGTTATTAAAAAAAATTTAAAATTTTCTTCCAACTTTGAAGCTTCCTCACAGGCAAACGATGGACTTTGTGATATAGGTAATTTTGGCTCAATCGACTTATTTTGATCTCACCAACATACAGTTGATCTATGTACACGGAATTTTGGTACACCCTGTATATCACATACCTGAACTCTGTAAATATTTTTTATATTTCTATTAATTTACTTTTTCGCTATTAGACTTTAGGAATTTTTGGCACTAATGAATTACTCTGTATATGGCTATAACAAACTGCTACCCAATCCTAGTTAGTTTTTTTATGACCTACCAACAAATTAAAATGTCTGTTTTTCTATTGAAAGCATCTCTGTACCCTACTAAATATATAATACATTTTAAAAATAAATAAAATGTAAAACCTTATGTACTCTAAAGCCTTAAAAACGAAATAGAAATTGAAAAAAGAAAAATAAACAGAAATAAACAAAAAAATAAGAAATAAAAAAGAGAAAAAATGCACTAATAGACAATATTAAAAAATTAAAAAGTACTACCCGTGGACTATGAATTTTTTAATTTGTGTATACCAAAAAATCTAGATATGTCTGGCTAATTGACAATAACATAATAAAAAAAATAAAGTGGCGGCACTAATATTAAAACATTAACAGAGACTTTTATTTTTCTATTATAGTACATCTTGATTTATCGTTATCTATATTAAAAACTGAAATTAAAATATATTTTTTTATAATTAAAATTAATTAAAGCTATAAATTATTTTACGATCCTAGTTTCTTTATTTTTATTTTTATAAAGCTCAGTTCATTCCAGACGAGTTAGTAATTTTGATATTCCTGGTAAATCAAACTGCATAATAAAGAATTAGTTATTTATTAAGTCATAGCTCTTAGTTGGCGCCGATCAAGTAACCTTGTGTAATTGATTGTTCAAGAAAATTCTGAACATAAATAAATAAATAAAAACAATTTAATTTTTTTGCTGTTTTTTAATATTATAAAAACCATAATTTATCGTACAGTTAATAAAATATTGCTGTCTACATTATTTAATATCAAACCTTCGTATGTCAAAAACCATTAAATGTACATTTAGTTATTTACCTTATTTTTAATAAATCGTAATTACAAAAAAAAAAAAATATATTATTTCTGATCGCATCTTAATCTTCAAGGCTTTCTGGATATTAAAAACTCGATTGTGTAATGCTTTTAATATGATTACGTCACGTAGTAAGTTTCGTTTTGTAAATGAACTTGAAATGAATGCAAAATTAATTGAATTTAGTTGTTTTCGAAATATTCACTATATACAAGAAGCTGTATTGTATTATAGGGGAGATCAGGGTAAGATGATGAACGGGTTAAGATGACATACTTCTATATTTAAATAACATAATTAATTTTTGAAGTGATACTACTGGTGCCATCTAGGTACAAATGCCCCGCATTAAAATTGATGCGCAGTTGGCCGGCCCGCTTATTACTGCAGCAGAGATACGTCAACAACGGCTTGTAATATTTTCTAAATTTTATTAACGATTTGTGCCTTTCTCAAGTAAGTAAATAAATTCAATGTATTACCAACAATTCTTTAATAGGTATCAATAGGTATTGTCAGTAGTAAAACTGTTGAAGTTGTTTTTTTTACATTATAGGAGGGACACTGCCAAAGTTCACGGAAAATGAAAAGCA